GTTAGGCTTCTCCAATCTACACAATAATTAGGAAAAAAATTATTTATTCTTGATTTCGGTGTTAAAAAAAAATATATATATATTATTTTATCGTTTTGCTTATATTTGATCATATATATACTCCATTCGCCGTTTTTACTGTCTCTTTGGCTTTATATCTCTTCCATTCACCGTTAGTGGAAAAACTTGCTTGCAATTCCAACCTTCATTCCAACTTAACTCTCCATTTCTTTCCATTATAATACTGTCAAAATTTTATTCTAATTTTGTTTTTTCAGTAAAAATTGTCTATAAAATTCTCTTTTACCCAATCTCCAATTTGAATCTCATATTAAATTCGGTAATTGGTGCTAGGTGAATTAGAGAATTTTGATGAATTAATGCCTAATCTAAATATGAGCACAAAAATTGATGGAAAACTGATTTAGTCATAAATTTTACGTAAGATTTATGGAATTTTTTGATTTATATCTTAAAATACATATTAAGTTTCATTAATTGTAATATATGTAATTAATTTTATATAAAATTTAAATAAAATGTAATATAAAAATATAAAAATATAATATAATATAATATTATACTTAAAATTTATAAAAATTATGAGTTTGATTAAAAAATATATAAATTTAATTAAAAAAATCTTTAATGATTTAATTCTCACAAATATACATAATTTTTAATGATTAATTTTTTCCAATAATATTGTATATATTAATTTATTTTATAATATATATAAATTATTAAAAAATCTTAAAATAAATTATCACATATTATTACCCAAATTGATATGGTAAAACAAAATAAAATCACAGGTGAATAATTTTTTGTTTTAAAATTACTGTACATTGAAAAAGTCAAAATGGATTTAGCATTTCATCATACAATCACGTACCCCGCAACAGACAATGGTAGGCCTTAATGCCGCAACACGTTTTTCCTGTTTCCAATTAAAATTTACCCCTTCCCCAATTCTCGATAAAACGATAACATGGCCTGGAAATAGCAAATTTAATGTTATTAAAAAAGAATTATATC